CATGAATTGACTGTTTATGAGGGAAGTTCTAGAATAAATAACAATGTACTCATAAGAAATTGATTTTTTTTTCTTTTATAGAAGGTAAACACCCAAATGAGATGGGTTTGCTATCTCACCGGGACACCCAGGCATCCATGCTAAGCTGATTAGTTCTGGGCAAAAGGAGAAAAACAAATAATAGTTTGAAGGTCGCCCTCCTCTGATTTTGCGTAAAAATATCCGGGCTCTGCATAAGCCTTTCTGTCCTCATTCTCCAGTTCAGCTGCTTGAGGTTTGCTTTTCTGAGAAGAAATGTGTTCTCCATATAAATGAGGCTTGGGCGTGGACAGTAAGGACACACACACGGCACAGAGGCCTTGGCCTGGCCCTCCAGCCCCAGGAAGGGCCCTGCAGCTCAAATGATATTCAGTGACCTGCCTGCTGGTTTGCCACACTGGCTGGTGCCAGGCCTCCGGGGCAAGTAGCCTGGGGTTCACTCTAGTGTCTTGAGAAGCTCAGAACTGGCTGTAAGTCCACCACTGAGTGCTCTGGCTTGGGGTGACTTACCCCTTTGCAGATGAAATCTGAGAAAGAGCACCCCATCCTCAAGGCAGCCCCAGAGTCCTGCAGCCGGGCTGGGCTGGAGAAGAGGATCACAGGCAAGCGGGCTATACGTTTTTGGTTTTGCTCCTAATCTCTGCATTTTAAAAACCTGTAACTCCTCATATGCGTTTGGCTCATAATTCAATTTTTAAATTATAGAGTTGTTGTTTTATACAAAGGTTGTGATTTCTGTCCTAAATATTGATCTTTACAAAAAAACAAAAAAACCTTTTGGTCCTCCTTTACATGTCCACATTTGTGGCTCCTTCCACTGTGGCCACACCAACTTCTGCCTCCACCATCTGGGCACCCCTCACCACTCATCCCCGACATGGCCCCAACCCCCAGCCCTCTCTCTGCCCCAGCCCCTCCGTGCGCCTGGCATCACCTCAGGCCACCTGGGCCCTCTGGCAGTTACCCTCGAGTCCCCGTGGTGACTGAGACCCCCAAGGCAGGATCCGTCTCCAGTTTAGGAAAAGCTCTAGGAACCAGAGGTAACTCTCAAAGGAGCACCCATACCTGTGGCCTAGGGTACATGGCGGGGACATTGCGGGACTCACCCGGAAATGAACACGGTAAAGATGGACGCCTTCCGCTTCCGACTTCCGCTCTGCTGCTTCTGCCTCTGCCTCCACAAAAGGATGAGCCTTTGCCCCTTTGGAAGTTTTGGTCATTCCTGAACTTGATTCGGCTTCTGTCACAAAATTTGACCCTAGTGCCATCTACTTTGCCTCTTGAAAGTCTTTTATGCTTACCTCGCCCGATTCTCTACAACAAAAAGGTTTAAATGGGGTCAAAAACTTAAAATTTATTTTGTGACCAAAAGCTTTTTTTTTTTTTTTTTTTTTTTGAGACAGAGTCTCGCTCTGTCGCCCAGGCTGGAGTGCAGTGGCCGGATCTCAGCTCACTGCAAGCTCCGCCTCCCGGGTTCACGCCATTCTCCTGCCTCAGCCTCCCGAGTAGCTGGGACTACAGGCGCCCGCCACCTCGCCCGGCTAGTTTTTTGTATTTTTTTAGTAGAGACGGGGTTTCACCGTGTTAGCCAGGATGGTCTCGATCTCCCGACCTCGTGATCCGCCCGTCTCGGCCTCCCAAAGTGCTGGGATTACAGGCTTGAGCCACCGCGCCCGGCCTTCCAAAAGCTTTTAACATCTCTCTCCTGCGTTCTTTTCACAAGAACATTTCAGTTTTTCAGAAAACATATGTATGTTACAAACTGATAGACAACTATTAACACATGAAGACATTTGATTGAAACTGCCTTGTTAATGAGAAGAGTGGGGCTGTTTTTCCAGCCAATTGGTTCCCACACCCAAGGAACAAGAGGACTCAGCTACAGTGAGGCAGGCTTCAGTCTCAAGTATATTTCTCTCATCATTTTTATAGACCATGCCAGGAAACTTTGTTTGCGTGAATATGTAGATAAGGAGGTATAGTATAGCAATGGCCCTCAATTGTGTTCTGAACTCTTCTGAGTTATAGTTCCCAAATCAGATGATGATCTGAAATTTTAAAATTGTAAAAATTATTTTAATGCTTTATCAGCTATCAACTCAGTTTTTCATTCAAGTGTTTTGAAAGCAAAGGATTAGAGACTACTTGACTTGCAAAATGATATGTCATCCAGTCAGTCTCAATTTCTGGAACATTTACCAAGAGGCTGTCCTCGTCTCAATTTATCAAGGGACTGTCATTTATCCTTGATTCTCTGTCACCTTATTTAATCTAATATAGTTTGAGGGGTTTGGGAACATTAAAATGTTGTTAATTTCATTGCTTTTTGGGGCCAATTTAATATTTTTGATAAAATGCTTTTATTATACTATTATTTTAAATGTGTTTTCATTGAATCCTTGGAGTTGCAGATGTAGTTCATTCTATTTATGGCAAATGTCCTCCATATACCCTAATCTTCCTCCTCAAACCAGTGAACCAAATTAGAAAATTTTCATCAGGAAAAGTCTGACCTACTTTTTCAATTGAAATAAAAGTGTTAGCATGCTTTTACAAGGATATTAAAAAAAGAAAACCACTGAGAAATAAATTATAGAGGACATCTTATTAAATTACTGAAGGCAATAAAGTTATGATTTAAGACGTGTAGAGCTAATATAATTGACCCACTTTATGATATGCCATTACAAGAAAATACATCTATATACCACTTTTCTTACTTAATTTGTAGCACTTTAATGAAGCCTGTGGGCAAATGTTCAGGTCATGTTCTAAGTGAGGACTTGTGTGTATTTGTTTACTGAACATTACTCTCAGGAGCAAAACACTAAATAAGAATCAACTACAGGCCAGGTGCAGTGGCTCACACCTGTAATCCTAACTGTTTGGGAGGCCAAGGTAGGAGGATCATTTGAGCCCACGAGTTCAAAACTAGTATGAGCAAGATGGCAAGACTCTTCCCTACAAAAAATTAAAAAATTAGCTGGGTGTGGTAGCATGCACCTGTAGTTCCAGCTACTCAAGAGGCTGGGGTGGGAGGAGCCCAGGAGTTTGAGACTGCAGTGGGCTACGGTTGTGCTACTGCACTCCAGCCTGGGTGACAGAGACCCCATCTCTTATTTAAAAAATCAAATATAAAAGTCATTTATGAACCCTCCCCCATTAATTCTGCTATGCATTACAGAAGTTCAGGAGGGGCTGTGCAGAGCTGGACCTCAGCCTCTGAGGTGGAGTGCTGCTGCCCTGCTACTGGCACCTGTGAAGGCAGGCAGCGAGACTCCAAAGCAACCTGCTGATGAGAACCAATAGCAGCCTTGCAGTTGTAGAACCACTGTGGCTGAGCAGCAACAGCAAGCAAATGGCAGGAAATCACCTTCTCCCTCATCCTGTCTGCCATGGTCCCTCTTGTGCTACCTTTGGCAGAATATAAAGCCAGCAGAGAATGGGAAAATCATATTTGCAGGGTCCCAGCCCCAATATTACAAAGCAGAACATAAATATTGGATTTGGAATTGACAGATAAAGCTTCATAACTGACCCAAGTGGTAGATAGTATGAAAGGTCCAATGTGTGTTCACTCTAGGTTCTAGAAGGAAAGCAGCAATGCAATGAGGAAAACTAACAAGTCCCATAGCTGACAAAGTGTAAGGTGTGTCTGCAGTATTATGAGTATCTAAGAATATTCAACTTATCCATAGACAATAAGAGAAATGAGCAGACAGGCCAGTAGCCTGTGAGACACATGAGCCAGTAGACTGTGGAGAGGAAATGGGAGCATCAGAGGTATTCAGTATTCATGAAGCATTCAGTATTCACGAGGCATTCAGTATTCATGAAGCGTTCAGTATTCATGAGGTCAGACAAAATTATCCACGGGTTATTGACTTCTATTTTGGCCCTACTGTTTTCTGCCTGGGACAAGCAGATAAAAGCCCTAATTCATTTAATCTATTAGAGTTAGTCAAATTCTCAACGGAGTCAATTTTAACATCTTACCACTTCCCTGATTAACAGATTTCATAAAGATTAACATAAAATCTTTGACCTTTGTTCATTAGAAAAATAATGGAGATTCCTATCTCTGCCCCAGTAAGACAGCAACTTAGACATACTCTCATATACTTGCGTCTCCATGTCACCCTGGCCTTATCACGTTGATATTACCCAGACTAAATTCTGGGTTATTAAAGATGTGTGTTGTCTTTCTTTCACTTTAGCTTTCTTTTTTTATTTTGAGACGGAGTCTCACTCTGTCCCCCAGGCTGGAGTGCAGTGAGGCAATCTCGGCTCACAGTGCAACCTCTGCCTCCCAGGTTCAAGAGATTCTCGTGCCTCAACCTCCTGAGTAGCTGGGATTACAGGTGCCTGCCACCATGCCTGGCTAATGTTTTGTATTTTTAGTAGAGATAGGATTTCGCCATGTTGGCCAGGCTGGTCTCAAACACCTGAGCTCAGGCGATCCACCCACCTTGGCCTCCTAAAGTGCTAGGATTAGAGGCATGAGCCACCACGTCTGGCCTGACTTTAGCTTTTTAAGAACCACCACAAACTTACCAAGTACTGATTTTTCCATTGTAAACCTCTTGTAAGATTTCCTAAATTTTGTTTCTCAATTTAAGCATCTCATGCAAGCCTGCTTCCCAGGTGGCAAAGCTCTGAGATATGGTATGTCTGGGAACTTTTTAAATTAATTTAGAATATATTTATTTAATGTCTGCAGCATAGCAGGCTTGTACCAAGTGAATAGCCAGGAACAAACCAAGGCCTCTCACCCCCTGCATTTCATAGGGGGACAAATAAACAAATGCAAACATCGTTAATCAGTGCTAGGAAGGAAAATCAACCAGGGAGAGCAACATAAGATTCAGCTGATGTATAAAGTGCTTGTTTCCACAAAAAGTGCATTTAAAATGACTAAGGAAGTAAATGATTGCAATTTTAAAACCTTCCTGATATTTTTCTTATTTTCTTTAATTAGGACAATTTACATTTTACAGCACTAAAAGTTGTTGCTTTTGAGTGAAAAAAATCCCATGAGTACTTAAGAGTACCAAATAAATGGCATTTAAAAAAGTCTGTGCTAGCACTTTTAAAATCTTATGAACATTTGCAAACATACAATTACCAACACTTGGCTGGTATTGTTTCATCCGGATCTTCTTGTCTTCTCCATTAATGGAGCTCCCTGTCCCTGTGTTTTTTGTTGTTGTTTTTTTGAGACGGAGGCTCGCTCAGTTGCCCAGACTGGACTACAGTGGCGTGGTCTCGACTCACTGCAACCTACGCCTCCTGGGTTCAAGTGATTCCTCCTGCCTCAGCCTCTTGAGTAGCTGGGACTACAGGCGCATGCCACCACGCCCAGCTAATTTTTGTATTTTCAGTAGAGACAGGGTTTCACCATATTGGCCAGGCTGGTCTTGAATGCCTGACCTCATGATCTGCCTGCCTTGGCCTCCCAAAGTGCTGGGATTACAGGTGTGAGCCACCTTGCCTGGCCTCTGTGGCTGTTTTAAGGCCATCTCAGACACATCCTTTCCTCTGTGATGCCTTCAGTTTGTGGGTGTGACGAAGTCCATGAACATCATATTAGCCAGATGTTAGCACTTCTATAAGCCAAATATTTTAGTATTTCTATATTTTCTTTTTTGTTACCCTCTCCTTTTCCATGTGGTTTTCCAATGGGAAGTTCATTCCATTATTTAGCTCATCTGTTGGGTTTACTCCTTCAAATTCTGCTTGGTTCTGTTTTCTGATCTCTTTTAGGCTGTTTAATTCCTGGACTGTGTTCTAAAATGCTAGAATCTATTGTAATAGAATCTCTGTGCAGTATTACCATTTTGAGCTTGATGTAGTTGTGCTCTTCAGATTTCTCATTTCTCCTTATGAGGTCATTTTCCCCTGGAGGCACTGGCTGCTTGGCCCGAAGGCGGGATGAGGGCATAGTGGGAGGTGGGCTAGTAGAAACCCACACTCACTCCTCATCCCTCAGGTCTGGCCTCACAGTTCTTTCTCTTGCAGCTGTACTAGACAGACCAATCTCACCAGTCCTGGAGGGTGGGATGGGGGAGGCACCTGCCAGAGGCTGATTAGTTCCCACCAACTCTCAGTCCCTCACCAGCACAGGGCCTTTGCACTGCCTTGATCTGCTCCCAGGGACATCTGGGACCCAGTGGTGTGCTAGTACCTGCTAAACAGGCTACCCTGCTCCAGTGTATGCACATGTGTGTGTACATAAGCTTACTGTACATGTTACAGATAGAAAAGGAGCAGCAACTTAAAAACATGCATAAAATATACAGTACTGTTGTAAATCCCACAGAGCCAGTTTTTATGGAATGATTTCACTGAGTCTTGCTGAGCCCTACATCTGAAGCCAACACAGGGTTGCAGCTGATGAATGAGTGTGGTTCTGACAAGAATGCTGGGGAGGTTTTCACTGATGAGTCAGACAAAGGCGAAGCAGCAGGACCGATGTCAGAGCTTCACTCGTTCAGTGACTGAGTCACTTCTTTGCTTAAGTAGGTAACAGTTTCCAGAGGCTGTGAGACAATTTCTTCAATTTTCTGTGCCATTCACAATGTAACAGCTACATTTTCAGTTTGATCTGCATCTTCCTCCATCACTTTCTAGGTCTAGAGACAATCACAACAGTGAATCAAACCGAGTCATGGTGTCTGTGGGTATCAGTGGTGTGAAAGCTCCCACCACAACTGACTCCAAGCTACTGATGTGAGTCCCCAAGCGCAGCCTAGGAGGGGTGTGCCCACCATTGCAGAGTATGTGCACGGTAAGAATACAGCTTGTAGTAAAATGCAGCAAAAGGTAGGAAGTGACGAGTTTCGAGTATTTGTTACCTTTGTTTTTAATATAATTCTAAGTTTATAAAATGTAACTTTTAACAGCTGTGTTCACCTACTGGCAGGCCAGGTTCCTGGCACTGCAGCCTCTGGCAGTGGCACGCCAACACCTGGTCCAGTGTTCCGGGCTCGCCAGGCCCCTCTGGCTGACCATCTGCCTTGCAAGCCTTCTCCGTGAGGCCACCCTGATCCCAGTACTTACCACTGCAGCCCGCCCCACTGCACTATCCTCACCTGCTTTTTTTTTCTTCCCAGGCACCATTCCCTGACACTGGCATCTGGTGTGTTATTTGTTTTCCTGCAGAGCAGCAGCTATGTGGGGGAGTCTGTGTTGTGTTCACCAACCTGTTCCAAGCACCTGGAACAGTGCATTCCGGGTTGGCCTTCATTACGCATGTACTGAATAAAAGCTCAAGAACCTCAACATTTACAGTCAGGCTCTACAAGATTCACTATACAGTATCTCGTAAAAAGCAAAACCTTCATCTTACTTGGTCAAATTCGGGACATTTCCCCAATTCCATGATAGAATAATGAGTCCGAGTATTCCATCCGGTGTGGCCCCCGAGGCAGCTCCCGAAGAATCGCTGTTCAAAGGATTTACTCGTCAGGGAGAGGGTTCCCTTCGTTCTTTTCTCTGAAGCTTGTTTTTGCTGCAACATATTTTAACGTTTTTATTGTGGGAAAATGAAATAGTTTCAAAATTGATGCAAATGAGAAAATCAAGTTATCTGTCTGTAATAGTGCTGTTTTTATTATTTGTATGGTGCTTTTGACTTTTCAAAATATTTTCCTAAATTGTTCATTTAATTGTAGAAACATGAGACAAATAGATATGCTTTTTAAAAAGGAACACAAAATCAAAACCATCCCAAATTCCATGTTCACAGACCACGGCCAGACTCCCTCCTTAGCCAGCCTGGCCCACCTGTGCTTGTACAGTACATGAAGCATATATACACTGTCACAGCCACGACACAGAAATGCCGCTTAGCTGCCAACTTTCCACTTAATTTATTGTGACTGTCCTTCCAGTGTTATAACTAGAAATACCATAGTTCTATGGTGGCACTTAGCACCTGCTTTTTTTCACTGCACCCCAGCACCCGTGTCACCGTTGCCTCTTGTTGAGTGTGTAGGTTCTTCCTGTGTTCTATCCGCAAGTAACGTGAGGGTAACGAGTAACATGGGCATGTGTTGTCATCCATTTTATATGCAGGATGAGAGCGGGGCAGCTGCATACTTTTCCTCTACACCACCTTATATATAGGAGAGGTGCCAACATGCTCTCCAGGAAGACGGTGAAGAAGTCAAGAATCTAACAGGGGTGGGGACTGAGGGGAGACTGTCCCAAGTTGGGGAAATGCAAGTAGCACTGGTGCAAGCACAGCAGGTGCAAGACGAGGTGGAGTCAGTGCTGCAACTGTTGGGCAGGACTCAGCCACCTTTTCAGGTTATGCACGTGGGCATCCATCCCCAGGCCTGCTAGTGGAGCTGAAGGCAGACATAATTTGAAAGGAAAAGAAAGTCTCAGCAACACCAGAGGAGTGAAACATTTTCTTTTTATTGAGAACATCTCATATCCTTTGTCTGTATTTGACAGCGTCTCATGCTCAGTTCCGGCTGGTCTCGGTGCGAGAGGAAGCTCATGCAGTTGTAACGTGTGGTGTATACACAGATTTACATACAGAGAACACTGAGGATTGCATCTTAGCAACACGTTTCTTGGCCGAATTACATTCATAGAAAGTGTCCAGATTCTAAAATCAAATTAAAAGCATGTAACCCAAAGCCTGAAAAAGCAAACAGCTTTAGGGGCTGACTCCATTAGCGTTCCATAGACTGTGCTTTTAACCGTTCAGTTCATGTTTAATGGCCCATCAGTTCCTTACACACCATTAGCTTATGCTGTGGCCAAAAGAAGTGTTCTTGAGGCTTGGCACTCGTCCCTTCAGGCAGTAAACAAGAAAGTGCAGACGGTGCTGCCAGAGACAGGAGGATTTTCACACGAGACTCAAAAAGCCAACACACCCTCACAACTAAAAGTCATGGTCGAGTCGGACCTGCCATCCACCTCCACTGCTCCCTGGCACCCGGTGGGTCAGAGGTTTCTCTAATTCTATTCCCTGGCACCAGCTGAACACTAGAACTCACATGGAAGGCCCCGAGCAGCCCGCCGGCCTTGAGGCTGGGCGCACCCACTCCTCAGCCAGGGAGACTGTCACAAAGCACGCTAAGGGGCAGAGACGCTGTGAACTGGACAGACACGGAACACAATGCCCTCTCCACTTACACGGTGTGGGGCTGACAAAAAGGAATCTTTCGACCGACTGTATAATTTCACAGAATTTAGAGGTGGGAAAGATGGCCAGTTTTCCTTCTCTACGCCTGGGGCAGACCACCTGCTTCCGGGGTAAAGTATTTGAGAAGGAAAAAGAGCCACTGTGCATGTGTTTGTTTTGAGACACGGGCAGATCCGGATGTGCCCTCTCCACAGCTTCGCTAATCCCATCCTCAGATCTCCGCACAATGTGAAGACGGAGCCGTCCCCTCCTCAGTGTACCTGTGTGAGATTACAAGGAGAGGCACTGTCTTCACGAAGAAAGCCGCGATTCCACAGCCCGGAGATACATAGTTATTTGAATAAAAATAAATTCCGCAGAAATCCATGCCTTGTGAGATACTGGCTTGCGCATTTTAAAATAATTGCTTTTAATTACAAAAATTTCTCAAAAATAGGAAAAGATGATGAAAAGTTTAAATTAAGACTCAGAATCAAAACTGCAGTTCTTTGGCGTCCCTTGCTGGGAAGGGGTGGGCCTGGCCTGTGACCAGGTGATGAGAGCTGAGGAAGGTGGTGAGGACATCCATCTGGACCTGCCGCTGCCTCGTGGCACAGAACACGCCGCCCCACCTGAGACCTCCCACTAGCAGGACTCTGTCCCTGGCAGAGCTGTACCTGAGTGGTCCTGAGGGACAGTGTCTTTGTGGAATTAATACTTCAGGTTTAGCTAACAAAACAAAACAGAACAGAAGCCCTCCCTTCCCCTACTTGTCAAAATGTCCTCAAAATGTAAGATTTTCCTTAAAAAATCAAGTTCTTGCTTGTGTCGAATTTTCTGCTAAGTCTCTAAAACCCACATCAAGGACACTGGATGCAAAATGACACGTCAATGAAACAGCTATAGTCTAATGCACACCGAGCGCTCAGAAGGGAGGGATTAAAGTGCTAAGTTCCCTGATCTGTCTCAGGGAGGAGTCAGCATTCTGTATTATTATTTTTTTCTGATTACAGATGAGCTGTCATAGGAGCAGTGCAGAGCCTCTGGTCCCCTGCACATCATCTTCCTCCCCGCAGCCGTCCCGCCCAGGGCTCCCCGAACCCAGTTCCTCCCCGCAGCCGCCCCACCCTGCCCAGGGCTCCCCGAACCCAACTCCTCCCCACAGTCGCCCCGCCCAGGGCTCCCCGAACCCAGTTCCTCCCCACAGCCGCCCCGCCCAGGGCTCCCCGAACCCAGTTCCTCCCCGCAGCCGCCCCACCCCGCCCAGGGCTCCCCGAACCCAGTTCCTCCCCGCAGCCGCCCCACCCCGCGTAGGGCTCCCCGAACCCAACTACTCCCCACAGCCACCCCACCCCGCCCAGGGCTCCCCGAACCCAGTTCCTACCCACAGCCGCCCTGCCCAGGGCTCCCCGAACCCAACTCCTACCCACAGCCACCCCGTCCAGGGCTCCCCGAACCCAGTCCCTCCCCACAGCCGCCCCACCCAGGGCTCCCCGAACCCAACACCTCCCCACAGCCGCCCCCCCACCCCGCCCAGGGCTCCCCGAACCCAGTTCCTCCCCACAGCCGCCCCACCCAGGGCTCCCCGAACCTAGTCCCTCCACACAGCCGCCCCACCCAGGGCTCCCCGAACCTAGTCCCTCCACACAGCCGCCCCACCCAGGGCTCCCCGAACCCAACACCTCCCCACAGCCGCCCCCCCACCCCGCCCAGGGCTCCCCGAACCCAGTTCCTCCCCACAGCCGCCCCCCACCTCCCGCCCAGGGCTCCCCGAACCCAACTCTTCCCCGCAGCCGCCCCGCCCGGGGCTCCCTGAACCCAGTTGCCTCGGCTGCCTTCCTCCTGCCTGGATGGCTTGGGGCAGGACGCCCTGTGCCTGCCCTCAAGGCTGCACGAGTCCACCCCGGAAAGGAGCCACCTCACACGGTCTCAGGGCAGCTGCTCAGGCCCACAGGGTGAGGCACTCACTCACTTGGCGTGGTACAGGGAGCAATCATGCTTACTTTAGCTATTACCTGACAGAAGGGAAAAGCCAGACATACCGGGTAGTTTTGTATGTATATGGAACATATTAACACTAAACTTGGTAACCAAAATCCACATATTTTTAAAAACTTAGTCCATCTCCCAATCCCCATTAGAAAAAAATACAATTTATCAAGACAAGAATAAAAATGCACAGACTTACAAGGTGTTTTTTCTAGAGTGTGCAAGAGCCTACTTGGGGGAAGGCCAGCAGCAACAGACACCTCTCCTTCTGCAGGTGCAGAACCCCAGCACCGTCTGCCCAAACAAGACCCCACTGTGGTGACAGAGCGGCTGAGACGCCCACTCTGACTGCTTCAGGGAGACAACTACCCTCTTCGGTAGAGGAGAAGGCTGGTGTGGGGCAGATGTTCTAGCCTCTGAACCTGGTCACGTCCCCAACGATGAGCCCTAAGCAGCACCCCTTCCTGCCACGCTGGGACGAGATCTGTGTGGACACACGTGGATAGGGCTCCTGATATCAGGAGGCACACCCCCCACCAAAGCCACAGTGCTTCAGGTTTTGGGTCTGAGCGCCCAGCGTCCGGTGGGAGCATGATGCCCCTCTGCCCCTGTTCTGGTTTCCTAGGCCCATCACAGACATACAGGTGCCAACACCCTGGATTTCACTGTGGCAGGTGTGTGCTGTAGGGTAGTCTGCACCAATCTCTGCCCATGGCCCCAGGAGACCCACCTGAGCACCGTCCAGAGCCTTGGAGCTGGGCACTGCACTGGCGAGCAGAGCACTTCTCTCGGCTCCTCTTTCATCCTGAGCGGAGGCAACAAGGCACCGGGTGCAAATCTCTGAGCTCGGTGGAGGTGGTCCACACAGGGCCCTGGCCCGCCACGCTCCTGACCTCCTGGGCTGGCTCCCTCTCTCGTGGGGCTGTCCCGTGCACTCTGGGTGCTGGGCAGCCCTGAGCTCCTCTGTCGGGACCGTCAATGTCTGGTCTACACTGTACCAGCAGCACGTGGTCTCACCAGCTCTCACTTGGATGCTTTTTATTTTTCAAACATGTCTTTGATAAAGCTGGAAACAATAATTTAAAAACATGCCTGCTATGTCATTTTCCAAGAATGATTATCTACTGAAATCATTCTACTTCCATTCTGTGAAGGCCTTTGGGCAGTCATCCACATCCATTCAATTCGGAGGAAGGAACAGAGGGAACTTAGGCCATGTATTGTGCAGTAGCCCTCCTGATTCCTTCTAGTCCATAAAAGTTAAATATCCTTTAAAAAACCTGAATGAATGGCCAGCCTGGGGTTACTGGCCATGTTTTATCTGTGATTACTTAGAAGTAAACTGAGAAAAGTTTTCCATGATCTGATCCTACAAGGAGTACAGAAGCTTCTAGAGGAGGCTGAGGGCTACAGGGGCCTGGGTCACGACTCTGCAGGACACACAGTCACCACTGCGGGGCCCCGTGTGTGTGACAAGGCCACGCTACCTCATGCTGGGAGTCTGCTCCTCAGGGAGACTGTTAAAACCTAGTGTGTCAAACTACCCAGGGAAGTACCTATGGAGAAAAGAGACCTAAGTTTAGACAGACATGTGGCGATTTCCTTTAGACTACTACTTCCTACCTCTATTTTCCCACCCTCCTCCATATATAGATGCTTTTCTTGCAATTAAAATAATGTGGCATAAAAGTGACCTGACATAATTACTTATTTTATAAACCACATTCCTAGCTCTGAATAAATTATTTATTCAAGAATTTCACACAAAGTAATTTCTATTTTCCTAAACTTAAGGAAGCCCTACTCAGTAGAACTCAATTTCTAAACGTAAACCGAGATTGAAAGCAGTCACTGGACGGTTCAGAAGGGGAAATGCTGCGGCAGAGAGATGCCAGGCGGCGATGCTGGGCCCCGACACACCCCATCCCCTCCCCACACTGCGCACCTGCCCCAGGTCTGATGTGAGATGCTGGGGACAACTGTGGACACCTAGTGGTCCCCTGTGTCCCCCAACTCCTTCCCCAAGGTATGCACCTGCCCCCAGTTCAGATGTGAGGTTCTGGAGGACGACGCTGGATGCCCACAGCCCCCTGCACCCCCCATCATGTCTGCCCGGGTCAGGGCGTGAGTGAGAACTGGTCCTGCTCAGTGGGCTTCTCCACCCAGGCCCCCAGCCCCGCCTTGATGAAGGCTGTGAACAGACGCGCCTTGGCGGCCTGGTACTCCTTTGCCGCCAGCTTGGACTCATGGTACATGTTGGGCTTGGTAATCTTGGAGCGTAGTAAGTGGGAGGGAACCTGTGAAGGGATAGAAAACAAATGCAACTGTTGACGCTGTAACAGATGAAAATAACACCTAATAAGATGCCAAAACATGGCCTTTAGAACTGCATTGGCTTCTGGGGTGAAGCAACCCAGAGGAAGGCGCCTTCTGCCAAGGGCACGGCTCCACACAGAACAAGGTGCCGCACCTCCTGAGGCCTGAGTTATCGCCCAGTTCCAGTCTTGCTAGTCAAACAGGCAGCTACAGACCCCCGAGTTCTGAAGACGTGCTTCTGGGAAACCACCAATAACTGATTCAAGTTTCATTTTTAACTATAAGAAGCACCACTGATGTTACGTGTGTGTTATCACCCTGATGACCTCGGAGGCCTTCCCTCGTGTGACCGGTAGCTCCTTTCTGTGTGGACTGTGGCCTTGCGGCAGCTGGCCTGGGTGCTGCCCCTGTGTGAACAGGACCCTCCTGGGCACTGTCACTTCTGGCTATACCTCCCATGCCAGTGCACAATGCTGGTCTCAGAATAAATAGATGCTATCTACTTGATTGAAGAATAAATACAAACTAGTAATATCCTGACTTACTATATAAGGTTTCATTCTGGGGAAAAAAGGGCCCCACAGCTAATTCAAAAGGTTTAAAAACTCTCATGGAGGGTTATCAGAATCCAGGCAATTTTTGTGTTGCTGAGAAGGAGGGGACAGCAGGGAGACTGGCATAATGACTTTCAATATCTGAGAGTAAGACATGTTTCCACCACACACAGTGGCCTGGCAGTGGGTGTTACTGCAGAAGGGAGGAAAAGAGCTGCCTTTGAGATGGCATTAAGGTTTCAGGGACATGGCCACACTTCTAAGCTAAAACAATCTGAAGGAACAAAAGGTTTCCAAATGATCGATTTAGGAAGCTGTGCATGATGACATGATGAAACAATTTAAGGAGCAGTAGGTGTGAGGACAGACAAGCTATTAGGGAGGTGGAGCCGGCGCATCACGGTGAGGGCGCCTCAGTACCTTGCCGTGCACACGCATCCAGCGACAGTACAACGCGTGCTTACACAGGCGGGACGCGCGGCCCAGCTCATCCTTCCCCGTCGTGGCGTTGATGACCTCAATAGCGGAGTCGCCTACCGTCCAGTTGACGCTGAAGTTGGGGGCCTTCCCTGGCTGCCGTGCTTCTGCATTGCTGATGCCTGAAACGGAAGGCACAGGAAGGCGGTGTGAAGCCCGCATTCACCCCCAGGGAGGGAGCAGCCAGGGGTGGCACACTGTGCTCAGACATGGCCACAGAAGTGCGTGGTGGAGGAATTCTGCCTGCTGAGGAACATACGCAGACTTGAGTGTGCATCTGCCATGGCAGTGGCCTCACACTCTTCCAGTGCCACCAGAACAGAAGCAGTGCTGAGAAAGCCGAACTGACCCATGGGTATGCACTTGTCTGACAGGGCAGGTGGGCAGAAGGTTGACAGAAACCTGGAATCATGAGACTTCCTGACAAGTGTGTCTTTTCTCACTCTGGTGCTGCCTGAGCGTGGATGGATGGAGCCACTTCTGAGACTAATGCAGGATCCTACGAGGTCGTGCATGTGGGGGCTGCTCCTGTGTCACCCACCTCTGGCACTCATGCCTGCACATGCTCCCCTGCCACTGAGAGGCCAGGCATGTTCAGGTCACTGGCTTTGCATGTGTGACATCCATGATGCAATAGGAAACCCTAATTCTTAACAAGTGTCTTGAAATGGTTCACAAGAGTCTTGAAAAAGTTCATAGAAAATGCGTATTATGAAAAAACTTCACGGATTTCAAAATTGTTTGGCACCAAAATAAACTTGTACTAACTTGCTGACACATGTCTGAATAGGATCTAGTTTGAGGCACTGAGAAGATGAAGACATCTGTTTGAAAAGAGCTCCTATCAGAGTTACATGACTTCGGCCAAAACTGAAGCAAGAACAAACATCAAACAGGAGATTAAAATAGCTTTTACAAAGACAATCCTGAAGAAAATGCATAATCCCCCCTCAAAAAAGGCTGCCAAGAGGTGGAAGGGGCCCAGTCAGAGC